ATGACAAACGGCTTGGTACAATCTGGATGGCGCAGCAGCGGCGTCGACGTAATCTTGCGTTTTTAGAATCTCGAACGCTTCCTTGGCCCTATCCAAATCGTGTCCGGCGCGAATGCGATCCTCACCCAGCTCGTAAAGCACAGCCGCGATAACAGGTAAATCCTCGATAAACTTATTGTAGTAATTCAGGCTTCCTAAGAACGATTGAACGCCCTTCAGAGTCGATGGGAAAGGTAGATCCTGAACGCTCTTGGCGATCTTCGGAGTAGCTCTGATACCTTCGGTACAGACTCTTCGTGGGATATATACGGTATAGCTTGTTTACAGAACTCGCTTTTTGGGAGACTAACTGAGATATTCCAATATCGGAGTCGGAACAGCAGAGCGTTCAGGTCTTCACAAAGCTGGTCCCAGGGAGGCGCCCCATGAGCTATGTCATCTATGAAGGAGCTTCGTCCCAGGACCGGTCCCATCTGCGCCGGTGTAGGAATGTTTCGTCTGAATGCAGTCGCCTCCTTCACCGGTTCTGGAAGTCTGAAACTACCTTCATCTTGAGGATTCTCGGTCGTCGGTCCTGTGTCTGGGGGTGGTCAACTTCAGAAATTCCAGGACATCTCGATCAACCTTAGCCTCTTCCTCAGGTGGGAGCCGCACGAATCCCCAGAGACAGTTATTGATCACACTCTGATACACTAACGGCGCGTTCTTGAGCCCAAAAGGCATCCGGATCTACTGGAAATGTCCGAATGGGCAGATAAAGGCTGAAATCAGCTTTGCCCGCTCTGTCATCTGAATCTCCCAGAAACCGCTCGCCATATCTAGACTCATGAACCATGCCGCAGCATTAAAGTCAGTCAACAAGTCGTCAATCAGAGGTAGGGGGTATCGCGATAGCTTGATCAACTGGTTAACCAGCCTATAATCAACACACATTCTGATATCCTCTCCATTCTTCTTCGAAACGATCACGATCGGGGATGACCATTCCGATTCAGAATGTTCAATAAGTCCGGTCTCTAGGAGCTTCTTCAGCAGTTCGTAAACCTTCACCAAATATCTGGAGGCGATCTGTCGAGCACGTAGTGCTATCGGCATCGCATCACCACCATCTAAGTCACAAACGACTCCGCGAGCTGGGGCCAGTGCGGCATTGCCATCACCTAAAAAGATACGACGATGATAATTCAAGATCTTTCGCATTTTGTCCTCCATCTCTGGGGTCGTGACGCCTGGAACGCCAACCTCGGTTTTGGCGGTGTCATACTCCGGACTCAATTCTTCTAACTCTGGAAAAATAGTCAGATGATCGCTCAACTGGGCCAAGACCTCCGCCCCTTCTCGCAGGTATACGGCTGGTTTCAGATCTAACTCTTCTACTGGCACTCGCGTGACACGTTCGTATTCTCGTTCTAGTCTTTGGACAGGAATGTCTGAGAGGCCCGAGGCGTCATCCATGGGGTCTGAGAAGTCATCCAATGCGCTTTCAAGAACACCATCTAGCACGTCCTCCGAGTCGAACTCTGGATCGAACGCTGAGTCGTCGTTCGTTTCCGAGGCGAAGTACACCGGCCCTGTCGACGGGTGATGTTCTGGATCCCCCGCTCCTGAAAAGGTGGCTAGATCTTCTCCCAGGTCCACTGCGCTCCGGAGTCGCTCTGAGGCCTCTGCGCTTTCTACAGTCGCCCGAGTCGTAGACGTTTCTGAACCCACGTCTCGGCTTCAGGCCTGGCCAGTTTGTCAGGAACACAGCCACACCGGTCTGAAGCGCTACACCCGTAAACGCTTGGGAAGTCAACTTGAGTACCAACATCTCTGGTATCCACTTGTCCAGTCTCCTCGGCGAATATCGTCATAGATACTTCTGCCAGATCTTTCACACCAACGGCATTTGCTTCTGGCTTTGGGGTGGGAGCACGTCGCGCAGTGAGGAAAACTTCCACAACTTCTGGTCGTTCCTGTAACCGCACCATCCGAGCCTCTGTATCCTGAGATTTTGGGCGTACGAGGAGTTTGGTCAACCACTAATACTCTGGTCGTGGCACCGCGGGAGGATCCCATAGTCGCATCATCTGCTCTAGGCATTCGGCACACATTCGGCCCTGACGCGATTCTGTGTCTTCGAGAATAAGCCGTTGCCACTCCTTATACCTAATTTTCCCTGGGAGGACGAATCCTGGCTCCTTCGGGAAGTGCCCGTATTCCACAATCCAAGCAAGTGCAGTCCGAGTGTCGATCCAGACATTTCTGTCCGAAACGTTGACCACTCGGACTGCCGTAGCCCAGGACCGGACCCCAAACAGGATCTCTATCACCCATCGTTTTTCTCGTCCGGCCCAGACCACTTCTCGCTGCGAGTTGGTCTATCCATATTCAATTTTGACTACCGCAACTTCGCCAGGACGTAGATACATACTTTCCTTCACGCAGACCGGCAGTTCTAGTCCTCTCCGCTTCCTAGGGACGTCGTCATACATCACAACATTTTCCTCGTCCGGTAACTTGACTAATCCTTCACGGATGCATAATCTAACTCCAGCCGAATACATGAAGTTCATTCCTAGCAATACGTCCACACCTTCACCAATATTTCCGATCCAGACATCCTGAAGATAAACCACTTCCCAACCAAGGGTGATCTTGACGGGAGCATGCGCGGAGATATACGTCGGGATTCCTCCCAGACCAGACACTTTGATCTGTCGGTGCGTTCGGATTTTGAGACTGGGCCTACGCGCTAGGTCCAGACTCACAATACTTACCGAAACACCCGTGTCTAGGCGTATCCTCGTTTGCCGATCATTGATCGCCCCCACACAGTCGCGATCTCATACGAGTTCTCTGAATCATGATCTTCCCACCATCCATATCTCTGGCCCGGGCCTAATGCAATTTCGACCGGGTCATCTGCAAGGTTCGACCCTAAATCCGGTTTGTCAGAACGCTGATATTCAGGGTAGAGTTGCTCAGGATAGATGATCTCGTCTTGAACTAGAGTCATGCGTTGTTGGTTATCTTGGTGTTGGTATTTTCTTCTTCTTCTTTCTGGACCCATACAAACTAGCACACACAGTTTCGGGGGGGGGGTTCTTGAGCCCGTCACCTAATGGATCGCGGGCTTAGTGGTTTAACTGCTGCTTCCCTTGTTCTATGTCCTTCGTCTGTAGTTGGGCCAGAGTCCGGCCTCGTTCAACATGCCCTGACTCGCCAGATGCTTCACAGTCTTGAACGCTCTCCACTCCGAACACGGAATTCCAGGGTGGTTTTCTCCACAGTCTGTACATCGTTTCTTTCGACAGACTCGAGCCGGATGTCCTATTTCAGAACAATTTCTACAAACCCTGTCTTGCCAGCAATTTTCTTCGGGATGGCCCCACTTCTTGCATTTCTCACAGAATGTGTTCCGGTTTTTCAGGCGTTGTTGCTCCGACCATTCCGAAACGCGATATGCCTCGTATGATTCGTCAGCCACTTCAGGCATCTGGGGGCCATAGTCGTCCGGACCATATTCTGGGGTCTCTGGATCCGCCACCAAGGGCTGTTCCTCGACCTCCGGTGTCTGAATCTGGATATGTTTTCCGCAACGGGAACGGTCCCATTGTCGATATTTTGAGTAAGGAACGCATGGCCTGGCCGTCGATGTTTGAGACCTCCGCGGGGCAAGTAGTCGGTCCTGGTATCTCGCGTCCTTGTCGGCGGCGTCTCATAACCATCGCATGGCCTGTCCGTCGATGTTTGAGACCTCCTCGGGGCAAGTTGTCGGTCCTGGTATCTCGCGTCCTTGTCGGCGGCGTCTCATAACCATCATCTTCAGACATTTTCATGGCGTCTGAGTACACGCTCCACTTCAGAGATACTCTGAAACTGATGGCCTTCGAGAGCCGTCTTGAGCTGTACATCCTTGAGCTTCTTGATTTCTTGATAAATCTGCGGAGGTGCAGTTCGCGCCGCTTGGAACTGGTCTGGAACGGAATTTCCGCCTTCACGGCCGCCGCGTTCAGTCTGTAGTAGAACGGCAGCGCCGTTTCTGAGGACCTCATCTTCATAGTGAAGTATCGTTCCGCGTAGGATCCAGTAGTACGACAATACAGCTTCTTGAACTTGGTGGACAGTAGTTTCCAATTATGCCGTGTCGACTTGGGCAACTGGGCGTACCAGTCTCTGATAGTGGCAGGCATCCGACTCCGGAACTGGCGGATCTTCATCTTGTCAGGCCAGGAACCTTGTGCCGCCATGTCAGTGAAACATTCCCACCAATTGACTCGATCTTCCTTCGGTGCAGTGTCGTTAAATTTCTCGACCGCATTGTAGTTGATATACGGCCTAAACGTCCAGACTGTAGTACCATCCTTGGTCGTCTTAGACGCTGCAGTACCGGAACCGTCGTCATTGTCTAGGCTATCTTCCGAGACGCTTGAGCTGGAGTCGCTGTTGTCTTCATCATCACTGCTAGAGTCCAACCATCTCCAGGGTCAGAGGGGGACGACCCCGGGCCCTCTTTAGCCTTGCGGGCCGGAGGCCTCCTAGATTCTGGCCTATTGGAGCCATTCTTCCCCGGTCCTGACTTCGTCGATCCAGAGTCTCCGGAATTCGATTGTCTGGAACCAGATTCATCGGTGTCTGAAACCGCCTGGGCCTTGAAGGCAGATGGAGCTCTTTGCCCAGCCTTGGCACTTTTCACTCTGGGTTCACCCATCACTTCTGGCAGTGTAGCTTGAAGCTGGGAAAGAGCGACTTCGGTGAGGTTCTTTACCGGGACATAGACGGAACGGTCCCTTGCGTCATCCTTGATTGCAGAGGTCGCACCTGATTTCTGAGTTGCAGAATCAGGACCCCCTATAGTATTCGACTTGGAATCAGTTGTCGCATCAGGGTGGAGAAGAGCCGCTACTGTTGTACGAAGATCTTGAAACTGCTGCTGGAGGCGTTGGGTTTCAGACGCTTCCTGGCTTCTTCGGTGTTCTTCCGTGTTCTTCAGTGGCTGGAGGCTCGCCCGCTCTGCAGCGAGTGCTTCTTGCTGCACGTCCAGGGCTCTTGTCGCCTTCGCCGTCCAGCGTGCGCGTTCTTCCTCAACTTCCGCCATGCGCTGTTGCCAACGCTGCTCGTATTCAGCCTGAAAGCGCTCGCCCTCCCAACGTGTGGCTTCCTCGACCTCTTTCCTGATGTGATCTTGAGTCCGTTCGGTCTCCAAGCGTGTGGGTGGCTAGCCTTCGACTTTAACCTCGAATCTCCATGTCCGCTAGGCGTCCGGCCAAGGCTTCTACCCCGCGAATCGCGTTTTGGAGCTGGCGATCGACAACCAGATGCGCATCGAGTTGGGCTTAGCGCTGCCTGGCATGAAAGGACTCCTGCTTTTCCTCCAAGATCGTAAGCCTCCGGTCCTGCTCCATGCGTATCCGGGCGAGACCATCTTGAGTCTGATGCAAGACATTCATGACAACTTGAGCAGCCTCGGATCCGGACGATGAAGCTATCGAGCACCTGGATGAGGACGTGCGGCTTGACCTGCTTGTCCCTCTCTCTCTCTGAAACCACTCGCTGAAGACCGCGGTGAAACATCAGGATCATGCCGGATCCTGGGCATATACGTATTAAGG